AGGATTCAGGAAGCAAGCTATCATTTGTGAGAATCGGAATTGGCGGAATGTGCCTGAGCGAGGAGCATGGCGAGGAGGCGCTGCAACGCTTTGGGAACACGATTGTCACCATCTTTTGATGGCATAGCCGTCAATTATTTTCTATGTTCAATCTTGCGTCTATCAATTCTATCATGCGCCTATACTTTGTCGTAAGACGCCAGGACCTGGTAACATGCATAGTCACGCAGTCGGACTCTATTCAGGACGATAAAACATCATACTTGGTCGCACAAGCCTCGAATCTTGTCACGAAACCCAGTATAAAGCATGTAGCACCAATATCGTTATATCCCCATCTACCATTACATCAAGGCAGCCCCCTCCCACTATTAACCGCATCCGCCAACATACTAGTCCCCGGCCTATTCTCCGCATACCGCTCATAACTATCCAAATAAAGCTCATCCGTACTCGTCGTCATCTTCACACTCCTCTCCGCCTCAATCGCATCAATCCACCTCTTCCACCTACTCCCCTCTTCCACCTCAGGCCACCCCCTATACGGACCCAACACGCGCCGCAACCGCAACACCCACGGCGCGATTTGCACATCTACAAACGAGATTCGGGGACCGAGGAAGAAAGGCCCGGTAGGATCTGCGGCGTCGACGAGTTTACCGATTTGATCCCGAAGTTCCTTCGCGTGAGCGACTTGTTCAGCAGCATCTTGGCACTGAAGTAATTTATAAAACCACGGAATAACATTCCGATTCACATGGTCAGACCAGAGGCGCGAAGTAGCACGCGTTTGCGCATCAGGCGGTAAGAGGTGAGGTCCAGCTTGCAGGTCCTCGAGATACTCCATTATAACGGTTGATTCGTGGGTCGACCATGTGGGACCGTGGCGCAGAGCGGGAACGAGACCGCGCGGGTTGACGTCGAGGAGGGATTGCGGTTTCTTGTATGGGTCGACTTCGATGTATTGGTAGGGGATTTGCTTGTGTTCTAGGGATATCCAGACGCGTTGAACGAAGGGGCTGGTGGGGTTAGTGAGTTGAGCGAGGGTTTGCGGGGATTGGGTAGAGGTGAAGTTGAGGGTGTGGCTTACCAGAACGCGCTGCCGTATAGTTTTAAGTCGTCTTCTTTGGAATGGTTCTTGACTGTTGTCAAGGCATTGCCAGTGGCTTTCTTGTGGTACGTCTTCTTGGAAGGATCTCCGCCCTGGTTTGTGTCGGTCATTTTGGATCGAACAGGCACACTAGCAGTTCGCAGCAATGGGTATGTTTGAAATGAAGAAAGGGTTGTACAAAATGCAGTCTTGGATATGGTAGAAGGACGAGTGCAGGGATATGGCAAAAAGCAGGGCAATGTGCGAAGTTTACAGAAAGAACTCATGAATAACGTCGAAAACTGAGGATCAGTGTAAGAACCAAGCAAGCTGTCTTAAATGACTGCAAGTTGAGCGACGGGCATAGTCGGTGTTCCAAGCATGCATCAAAATGACGTATGCGCTTGATCTGCGGGCAGTGTGGATCGCCATTGCATATCATCATGGCTAGATGGGGCGGTGGAACGGGAGAGCGGAGTCTGAGATCAAAGAAAGAAGTGAAGCTTACCTGCGATCTCTTCCTGTCATCTTTATCGATTTTGGCCTGCCACCTAATGACGCTGTTCTTCTTCACACGGTCACTCTCCTCAAGCGAATGCTTATGTGGTCCGGCAACGCCATCGCCTTTGCCATTCCCACCATTTCCATTCACCCTCTGGAAAGTGTAGAACTTCTTCGATGGAGGACCGGACGAAGGGGCGTACTCTGGCAAGTTCATGCCCGACTGAGCGGCCATGTTGGGAGGCATATCCCAGGTTCCAGCCTGTTGTTGCGGCAGTAGCGGTTGCTGCCCGAAGAACTGCGGGTTCTGGTTCTGACCCGTCCGGTTCGGGTTCAGCGGCATGGTCGAAGCTACCGGGCTCGGCGGGTCGTTCTCTGTGCCTGGTGGTCGTCGACCAAGTTGTTCCTCGTACTCCCTTCGATCGAAGAACTCCGTGATCTTGATCTTGACATCGCACAGGTCCCGCTCTCTTGCGACCCTCTTCCTCTTCTTCTTGTCGGGGTCTGTGGACTTCTTGGTGCCTGGCGGTCGCCCTTTGAGTCGGCAATCCCAGTAGTGTGATACGAAGCGTTTGCGTTTATGCCGTTGGGTCGAGCGATGCGAGTAGACGTTGTCGATGTGAGGGAAGTAAGTCTGGAACCTAAGAAGGGTGTCAGCGCATAGTCCTGAGTATGCCAGGAAGCCGTCATACTGCTCTTCAGTCAGAGTGATCATATCGTCGACATGAAACAGTCTCTCTCTCCATTCTTCCAAGTCTGGTGGGTTTGGTATGAGCTTCAGGCCTTGGAACTGGCCATGGTTGGACAATGGAGTGTCGTCGCTATCGAAGGATCAGTAGGGCGCGCTTTATCGCTACGCTCAAGCCAACGTACCCATCCTGACTCTCCTGCTTATGCAGCAAAGGCGCTGGCTCTACATGCCGTGGTAGTGGCTGCGGCGCCGCCAGTATCGGTGGTGCAGGCGGTGGGAGAGGAAGTTGCTGGACCGGTCGTTGTACCGTCTGAGGGGATGCGTGATACTGTTGCGCGTGTTCTTGAAGCGGGGGAGGGGGCGCGTTCATGAATCGCGGACTCGTGCCATGCTGATAGCCCGCCGGCTGGAATGGCGGGTACGGCCCTGAAGGCGGGAGCGCATGTTGCTCAAAGTGTACTGGCAGCGCATGCGACGGTGGTTGTTGGTGCGATGGCCCGCTCAGGGCGTATTGCTGCTGGTATACATCGCTCGTGTGGAGGTTCTGCAGCTCGGGCAGGACCTGATTGTGGGGATATAGCGTTCCGTCGGGCGACTGGTGTAGCGTCTGGAGAGCGCCAGGGTGCAGTGACCGGAGCTGCTGGAGGACAGGCGAGGAGGCCTGTTGCATGATGGCGCCGGTGTTGGACGCTGCTTTAGCCCAAGCCGTTTTCGTGAAAGATGCAGGTCCACCGACGATCCGATATCCGGGTAGTTAGGGTTGGCGAGTATTACAGGTGTAGACACATTTCGCATAGAGAGTACCTGTATTGATGTCGCGAACGCGTGTTGATTACTTCTTTGTCTGATTCAGCACTCTATGTGGCAATGGTCGCTCCGCACGCTTAGGATGGCTTTCAGCCGCCTAGCTGAGCAGCGTTTGCTTGAACATCAACGCTTTTGCGGCATTTCCAACTTTTGGCATCGGAACACATGGGCGAACGCTAGAAATGCCCCTTCACATAATCATCGTGGTCCTTCCATCTAAAAGATCAAATCCAGTCCCGTTAAAGGGACCGCTAACCCGCAACGCCATGCCCATGCCGTGACGAAGAGAAGCATAATCATGAAATACAGCCACATCTACCAAATCTACTCTCCAGGAAGAAGATTGCTCTTGACAGCAAACATCTTGGAAGTGACGCCTGCCGTGAAACCGTCCACTTGCCTCGAGTATTGCTCCACCTGTCTCGAGTTGAGGAGCGTCTCCAGTCGGCTGGGTTCCTGGGGCAGCTTGAACAGCCTCTGCCACTCGTCTTCGGGAAGGAGAGGTTGCTTTGAGGCTGTGCGCGCCGCGTTCTCAGCCTTGCGCTTTTGCTGCCATGCAGTGATCTTGGTCTGCTCACGAGCGAGCGAACGCTGGTAGTATTGGTAGTTGTTGATCTCGGTGTGGTGGTTCTCGATGCTCTCAAGGAGCAAGTCGCAGGTCTTCTCGAGGAAGGGGTCGATGGAGAGGTCGAGCGAGTCGTAGTTGGGGAAGAGAGGTGCCTGGGGGGTGTTTGGGTCCTGCTGCAGAGCGGCTAGGTTGGGTGGGAACTTGAGCTCCTGCTTAGGCGCTTGGGTAGGTAGCTGGTGTAGGAGCGAGGTGAGGAGGTGGGAGTTGCGGATGGTGACTGGAAGCTCGACTAGGATGTCGTGGTATCGGAGACCACTCTTCTGGAGGCTGGGATTGTCAGTTTCCACCTTTGTGTAGAGTTGTTTATACATACCTCTCAGTCGTGAACTTGCCCTCCTTGTATGCCGTCACGAAAGAAGGCGAGAGCCTGTATGCGCGCAGGTTCAGGGTACCCTGAGAACTCCTGCTCACGTCGTAGATCAAAGCGACGGTCCTCTCGTTTGGCTGGCTCTGGTAGAAGTACTGGTTCTCGATCGTGTTCAGGTTGACGAAGTTGCCCATGCTTGTGCTTGTGTACCAGCCGACATTGTTCGCGTCCACGTTGACCTCCCGGAGGAACTTGATCATCTCGTTTCCGTATGCTATGTTCTGCTTGGCGCGGGGAGCACCAGCGGCGAGGTTTGCGACGGTATCGTTTTGGCCATCGGTCTGCGCGGCAGCAGAGACTTCGGGGAAGGGGAAAGAGTTTGTGATTTCTAGGACGCCGTTCTTCTCCATGCCGACGATGCTTCCGGTCGCGAGCGAGGGGAAGGACTTGCCGCTTGCAGTAGCGATCTTGATCGCGACCTGAGGACCACAGTCAGTCTCCCATAGCTACACCAGGCTTCTATAACGGCTTGTCTCCAGCACAATGGCGGGGCGCACAGTGGGGTACTGGCTTTGCACTTTTCCTACGTACCAGGGCGTCGATCTGCACTGTCTTGAACAGCGCATCTTTCTGGGTGTCCGCCATCGTGAAGTCGTCGAAAAGGTCGGGGTTAACGTTCGGCGGGGGTAGTAGGCGATAGACGTACGTCGTTGTCAGGAAGCAGAATTCGGGCTCCAGTGACCTGCCAAGATTCACCTCGCTTACAGCACGCTAGCCACATCGGACTAGCTCAGCAGTAGGCCCGGTCAGGTACCTCTACCCGTAATATAAACAACTATGAACGCGACTCTCTGGGATTGATAATAGAGCCGAAAGTTTATCTACCATCACAGCTATATAGTTTCCGAATCATCCGCTGCAGAAGAGGCACCACACAACTCCAGTCCATCTCAACACCAACACCAAAGCCAACAACATGCCCTACAACGAGTACGGAGAAGAAATCCGGCGTCTCTACGTGCCGTCTGGAGACCGTTGCTCTTCTTCCGTCCCGCTATCCGAGCTAGTCTTCTACAACGCCGACAAAAAGATCTCCCAACTACGCATGAAAGTCATGTCCAAGCCAGACCCGGTCCCGGACGAGACAAGCCTAGTAGTCTTCATCGACGGTGCTTGTCGCAATAACGGTCAACCAACAGCGAGAGCTTCGTGGGGCGTCTACTTCGGTCCCGCCTCTCCCTACAACACATACGGTCTACTTTACGACTTTCTGCCTCAAACGAGCACACGTGCGGAGATCGAGGCTTTCCACCGAGCGCTTACCATCATCCGCAAGATTACGGACGCAGACCTTAGGCTATCCAGGATCAAGATCGCAACCGACTCAAGCTTCTTGGTTAATGCGATGAGTCAGTGGATGGAACGCTGGATCGAGAATGATGGGGTGGGTTCCAATGGCACACCAGTCGCGCATTTCAAAGTACTGAAAGATCTGCACGATACACTGGACCACATGGAGTATAGTGACGAGGCGGGCGGTAGAGAGGTGCAGTTCTGGCATGTACCAAGGGAGATGAACCGAGAGGCAGATGCATTAGCGAACAAGGCTCTCGATGAAGCTTAAGCTGTATACAAACAAGTAATACTGATGACTGTTGATGCTTATGCCAATGCAGTACAAACAACAACGCCCTACGCAAATGCAGTGGTATCCAAGAGAACGTGCTAAATGTGAATGCAACAGGTCCGCCTCCTTTTCCTCCATCCCAAACGCCATCTCTTATTAAGCCATGTCCTGATCCGAAGTACCTTTGCCTACATCAGTGTTTTCCGGAAGCTCCAACTTCTGCTCCTCTTTCGCTTCCTCATCTTTGATCTCCACGACCTCAGTAGAGACACACGGGGCTCCTGTCTCAACAGCTTGTTTCCTCTTTTGGTTGTTGTACGGATTCCATCGCGGTACCACGGGTTGTCGCTGTGGCTTGCGATTATTTGCTTTTGGGTTCTTCGCGATTGACCCATCGTCCATGCGCATCCACTCCGTATCCTCGTTATCGATATGATCCGAGATCTCTGCATCGTTCTCATCTTCCCAGATCATCAGGTTGGTCCCGTTGATCTCGATCGAGCGGCCTCCGGTGCGTGGAACGAAGAAGACGTTCGGCCCGACCTTGCTGAAGTCTTGTTCCCATGTTTCTTTCTGTTGTAGCTTGAGGATATAGTCCATTGGCAAGGCATATAGAACATTATCGTCCTTGTCGTAAAGCTCCTTGAGCGGGTAGTCCAGACAAGCCAGTCCGAATTTGCAGTCGATCCGACTAGACAGCGGATGTATGCGCCCGCCAAAGATCTTGAGTTCAAAAGCAATTCCACTCTCCGTCCACATGTTGTCGCCGAAGAAGACCTCGGGTTCGGAGAGCAGGGGATGATCGTGATGCGGCCCAGATACTTCACAGAAGTGTGCCACTTCATGGGCCAGACATGTAGCAAGGAACATGTTGTATCGCAGTACCATCGCCGGCTCCCGGTATCGTAGCAAGCTGAGCTTTTTTGCTGTAGTGTAGAAGTCTGAATGGAGACAAATGCGGCTTGTATGGCACTTGTGATTGATCTTCCGCATCAAGCCGTTTTTGTAGTCCTTGACAAGGCCCATCGACGCGTATGCAGTCTCCGGTGGTAGAGGATCGTGGTGAAAGTAGAAGTGAACAGTGTCGATCTGGTTGTCCAGAAAGTTCTTGAATGTCGCGTGGTGTTCTTCAGACCATGCTACGTCCTCTTTTATGCGATAACAAGGCTGACCGTATGCTGCAGACGTCTCCTCACAGGCCTCCCTTTTGCCAAACACCAAGGTATGCCAGAAGTGAGCGGTGGCCTGGGACGTCAAGAGCAAGGTGGCTAGTTGTAAAGCTGGTTTCAAGACCTCGTAGATTCCATCCGGACACCCGTGCCAGTTATCTAGACGAAAGATGGGGTGTATCTCGTTATCTAGCGTGCAAACAGGTTCGGGGGCGTCCTTCCCAAAGGCTACAGCTTGTTTCTTGATCAACTCGACCGGATCAAAACCAAGCCTGACGGGTTTCTTCTTGGTCGCGTCTTTTCGATGTCCAAGTAACCTGCGATACTTCTCAAGCGCCTTGCGATCCTCTATCTGAGCGAGATGGTGGTTTATCGAGATGCTGAGCTGTAGCCCAAAGTCTTTGGGTACTTCAATCGTCGAAGGAGTGAATGAGAGTGATTTCTGATAATTCAAGACGTCCGGTAAATCATGAACGAGCTTGTCAATACATTCATCCATGATCTTTCCCTCTTTGAGTTTATGCAGAAGCACTGCGTTCTCGCCGCGATCTTCGGCCTGGAGGTCACCATCTCCACCACCAGGTAGAAGATGACGCATTTTTCTGGATAGAGTCGGCGGTGGTCCGCATTCTGGAGGTGGAGTATTCGCTTCTGTGGGTGTCCAGTCCATGCTGTCCGGATCTTGCTCCTGGAAGGCGGCCTCTGGTACATCGCCATCGTCATCGACTGTGCCTTCCTCGTTGAGCTGAACATCTTGATTCAGACGTTCTTCGATGAGTTGCGTTGTATGCACCATGGCCTCATACGCCTTCCGATATCTAAAAGGGTCCATTCTGGCTGGCGTCAGTATCCTGGAAGGGTTGGGCCGAGGTAGTTGCAAATTCGATGCAACTTGCGCTCAAACGTGGCAGAAGCGAAAGTGGTGGAATTAGGTAGCAGTCACGTCGAAGATGATCCAATCATGGGGCTGCCTTGTTGTTTTGCACCAGTGCGTCGCGTGGCTGCATCAGTCGAGGAACAATGTCTCTTCGTACGTGCCCTGAATGGATATGTCGCGCGCTTCGATCCCGACTGAGTCGCAGGGATGAGGCAAAGTGTCCAACACCTGCCATCTCACCGAGCTTGGCTATGCAGCGTAGGTGTGGATGTATCGGCTGCTTAGAGGGAGGTCTGGAGTGGGGTATTCTTACTAAGTCGACGAAGCGGTCAACACCCGCTAAGCGATAGAAAGTGGTCTATCCAAAAATTAAAGCTAAGAGATGGAAAATGAGGGTAGCGTTGGGAGTGTATCAGCGAGAAGAACGGAACGGTGTGCCTGGATGAGCTGTTTACGCGCTAGCGTCCACTGGTGCCAAGGAATTGCGCCGCTAGCTTTTCGTCACCGGTTGACGCACGTCACTCCTGAACGGCGCATCATTCCATCATCTCCTCAGCCATGAACACGTTGTCGCATCTCCATCTATGTCAGCCCCAGACGATCCGCAGATGGTGATTATCGCCACCAATGCTATGAGCGACCCGGGACACTTGGACCACGCGTGAGCGACGTGAGCTGTTCGCGACCTTGCCTAAGCATCACGCTGTGTACGAGGGCATGACGACAGCAACGAAAGGCTCAGAGGAGACTCCTATAGAGAGGAATTCTGACTATGAATTTATGAGGAGAGCGGGTTCGATCCGACTAAACCTCCGCCCTGAAGCTCTCGTGGGCATATCTCAAGGGTCTTGAGACCGACGACAAAGGATGAATTCATCCTAGACTGAGTACAAATCGCTCTGATGACCTGCTCTTGCTATTTCCTGTTGGTTCAGGACGATGTGCAGAAGCTAATCGAAATCGCAAGAAAAGCGCGCCGAGCTTACAGCCGATAGCGAAGCATGTGTGTTGTCTTACAGAACACAAGATGAAAAGTTGTTTGACAATAGAAAGAGACATACCCCTGGTCATACTCGCACCTCCATGCTCTTTCGGGTACTGCGTTCTCCGGCGTTGGTGTGCAACGACCGCCTTACCGGCTACACGAGCCCTTATTCGATTTCGACGTCTCCACCTACCCATGACTTTCATCAAGCTTGCGAGTAACCCTGAGTTACTCGTGTGCTAAATCGTCTGCATTTGAAACGAGGGTATCCTCTTCAATGCAGTCTTGGCCTAGGCCTATCGATACTCATGTGAAAACGCGATCGAGGACTTTACAATCTAAGGCTTCAGGCACGAAACCTGAGCCTTCGCCGGCGACCGCCCAGATGCGTTGCAGAGACAGCGGACGACTCCGGGCTGCAGCATGGGTAGTGCGACGGCCGCATTGCTGTCAAGTGTTGCTTCTCGGAGGAAGTACATGGTATGGAATTCCGAAGCGGATGATTTGTATGAGCACTACCCTCTGAAGGCAAGAGACATGGTAGCCTGCACACAAGCAATCGGAGAGCGCCGAAGCAGAGGATCACGCAAGTTCTTCGCTTTCGGACTTACCATAGCGCTGGAGGCTCCCTATTGGTCGCTTCAAATTTAGATGCCCTGGCCGGGGTTTTCCATTTCCGCCTCAGCTCTCTCCACACAGCATCGCGCTAGGACCCAGATTTGGGGGCGGAGACAATCAACTCGGTGCGTTTCTGAAGGCGCCGAGTCAGAAAGCACCGACAGCGTTGCATGATCACGATAAAACAACGTTAAGAACCATGGGACGAAAATTTAGCCACGAAGATCACCATATCAAGAATGCTTTCGGGAGTTGCACTCATCACAGAAGCCGGATCTGGTACGGATTGCTCTCTTATTACTGTTTCTGCATTATTATGGCTTGCAAAAGGTCTTTAGCAAAGGCTATAGAAGGCTAATACTACTTTGCAGGCTTCGGCCAAAGCGCCGCATACTCGCTGGCCCGCAATGGTGTTAAACAATTTGCCCTTGTCGACACCAACGAGGCTGGACTGCAAGAGACAACGCAGACGCTAGCATCGCAGTTCAAGGTAACAGACGTGCTGAGTGTCTCCACTCCATGCAGTACGGAAGAGTCCGTCGAGGCTGTCGTTGAACAAGCCGCGTTACGCTTCGCTCGTATCGATTTCGTCATTCTGAATGCCGGCTTCGGTGGGCCCATGGGCGGCAGTCCCGACACGGCACCCGCCGCATTCGATACCCACCTCAAGGACCACGTGACTGGTGTCTGGCTCTGGCATCGGGCAGGGATACGGCAAATGCTGCGGCAGGAACCGCGCGACTCGCGATATGGCCGTGGCAGTATCGTACATGTCTGCTCAGTACATGCCTTTGCCGCTTCACCACCTCAGGTCGCTGCTGGTGCGTATGTAGCGGGTCGGCATGCCATCCTCGGTTTGACACGCTCTGAGGGCGTTCTTTATGCACCCCAACAGATACGTATCAATGCGCTCTGTCCTGGGTATATCATGTCGCCGCTCATTGCATCCTCGGAACAGACCAAGGCTTTCATCGATAACCTTGTGCGAGAGCGTGTGCCTGCGGGTCGGCTGGGAGATGCTGAAGAGGTTGCTGATGCAGTTGTGTTCTTGGCTGGACCGATGAGCAGCTACATGTTTGGTCAGTCGTTGGTACTGGATGGGTATGTATTGACCAATCTATGATTGAGAGATCATGGAGCGCTGACTGGTGATAGGGGCTATCTGGCTCAGTGAGAAGCCACGATGCTGTAGGATAATAGGAAATAATACATGCGTACCTCAACTTCTTATCTCGAAGACAAACTTCATACCGAGTGCATGCGAATTGCTCTCTTCCAATGGTTCAACCATCAGCCTCGGTGATAGTGCTAACACATATTGCCCGCTGCACCGTTGCTCAGCAGTGAG